TACGGCTCTAAATGAATTGGGTACGCAAATGTACTTGCTCAACAAGTGGTACATGCAGGCGTGTGGCAGGGGTGAGCAGTGGATCTTTGTCAGATTTAGAGACCATCATTACTTCCGTGGTGATGACATCTTACATATTAGTTTCAAAGAATTGCATCAACTATACCACTTGGACGCTCTGGACAAATCAATCATTAGCTCCTTTTGTTTGTAAGTGATTCTTACTTTTATTTAATAAACTCACTTCCATGCGTACGTGTATATAATTATCCTCACATGTAACTTATATTTATATACAGATTACAGATATCAGAGCTCCAAAGAATACAAGACACCAGTGTTGGCTTCATTGATCCTTATATTGTATTCAAAACCGGTATTATTATCAAGGAGCGGTGGGTATCTGAAACACAGGAGAATATTATGATGTTCTTCGTGAAGCAGCACGACAAGACAACAATATTTTTTCCGTACAACTTTGAGTAAGTGTTAATAATAATATAGTCTACACATTTTATGTAATATCAATACAACTTATATGCATGTACGTGTGTGTATAAACCAATGCAGTTTTCACTGGATACTCATTGTCATTGAGTTAAACTCAAGTCGGTTAGTAATCTTTGACTCGTTGAGAAAAGAGCGGGCACTATACCAAGATATCATACACATTATCCAGGGGTAATTTCGATCTCTCGCGCACAACTATTATTGAATAGACTTTGCCATAATTTATTAACGATCGTACATTATTGATCGCACAGGGTTTGGAAAGAGTTTATTCGGCAACATCGCAAGGATTGCAAGGCACCACTTAATGTAGTTGAAATAACAGTAAGTTGTACTATATACACTTTCCCACGTGTTTAATTACTATATCGTACTTCAATTTACGTGTGAGATGATGAGAATAATCTTCTCTCAAATGAAAGGTGGTGTTTGCAATGACAACGTGTAATAACTTGTGTGGATACTACGTTTGTGAATTTATCACTGCGCACATAAGAAGAACTCCTAAAGATGTCCTTAGAGTATGTTTATATCAATTTTTTATTTATTTTTAAATGAATATATATATATATATATGTATTAATACTTTTCCTTTTATTTCAAATGCAAGATTGAATGGTTGAACGAAGGGTCATGCAAAAAGACCATCTGAAAGCAGTTCAAGAATCAATAGCAGGATTTCTTCTAGAAAAAGTACTAAATCCCAACGGCGAGTTCTACTTTGATCCTAAGGAATAAATGATGTAAATTAAATGTTTATTGATATCGTTATTTTCGAAAACAAGATTATGAAAGTGTTGTATATATATATATATATATATATCTATAATATATATAGGTTCATACTTTATTCAAATATAATAATGCTCGAGATTAGAATTAGATGTAATTATATGCGTGCGTGTATTTATATTAGCTACGTAGAATACGTACATAAAAACATATTATATATTAAACAAATACGTGTAACTGAACTGAAAACAAATTAAACAAAAAAAAAAGAAAAAGAAAAGGAACCTTTAGTTCCGGTTTGGGGTTACCAACCGGGACTAAAGGGTGCGGCCACGTTTGCTCAGCTAGAGGGCCTTTAGTCCCGGTTGATAACACCAACCGGGACTAAAGATCCCTCTTTAGTTCGGCTCGATGACCCGGAAATGACCCGGAACTAAAGGTGGCACCTTTAGTCCCGGAATTGTTGTCCCGGCGCGGTAACCGAGACTAAAGGCCGTTACCGCCCGAGACAACAAGTCCACTCTGTAGCAGTGGTTGCAACAAACCAGCAAACTACGACGCATGCATAAGGGTTTAACCTGCTGCATAAGTGTGCTACCGAGCGAGCCGCCTGTTTATTGTCTGCAGCTGCAACAGCACGCACGAGATTACAACATGCTGTTGATGATGAGGGCGGCGGCGGTGGCCGTGCTGTTGTTGCAATGCTTCAACGTGATCCTCGCGGTGAGGCCGCTGCTGGATGCGGCCGGACGACTGGAGCTCGGCGGCGCCGGGACGCCGCTGATCATGCAGGTTCTTCATCGAGGTCCTTGCCCCAACGATAATCATTGGCAGGCTCCCAACGGCTCCGGATGCCCGTAAAATAAATTATAATAGCCGAGCCCGGCCGGGAGGTTTACTATTTAAAATTATAAGATGTTTTGGTTTTCAATATATATTATAGATATATTATATATTTAAGAAAGTAACAAAAATTATATATCTAGAAAAACGAAAAAAAATCTTATAATTTAGAATAACGGAAGTAGGATACAATCCCTACTTGATGCCCATATAAATAGCCGAATATCATTCACTTGTATCTTGAAATATATATATATATATATATATATATATATATATATATATATATATATATATATATATATATATATATATGCACAGTAAGCATTTGATGATGATCGGATTTGCGTGGCATTATTTGGCTATTCCTAAGTATTTTGTGGCATCTTGTATTGTTCTCTCTACGTGAATTATTATATAATACCAGGATTCGAAATACTCCTACTTTGATAGAGGGTGTGTTTGATTCAGTTATGTGCTAATGAAAAAGTTGTGAGCTGTGAGTTATGTTTTGTGAGAAGGAAAATAAATTGTTTGGTTAAAACAATTAGGAAACCTCCCATCTCTCTTTATCTTCCTTGAAACAACTATTAGTCTTTATTTGCACCCATTTGGAAAAGCTCAAAGCTAAAAGGCAAGTACACGGCACAAAGTGCTATGAAAATTGTACTACGGCCGGGAAAACTAGTTTCTTGTTCTACCGGTTTGGTTGGCGTTCTATTTTTTTTTTAGCAGAAGAGCACTTTTCAGAAGCTAAACCAAACACAACATAAGATAATAACCCTGCTACCTCAACTGTTCGTGTCAGCGAATAAGTGGATAAAGATTATTGCAACTGCATATATATATATATATATATATTGCGTACGATGAACTAGAGAATTTTATTATATGGTCTAATTAAACTGTCAACATAGAAACCGATTATATACTTTCATGGAAGGGAACTCATTTACTATTTTTTTTTGTCTTGTGGGGGCGATCGAGGGAACGAAATTGCAGTGGAATGGAACGGCCAGGGGCCAGCGGAAAGCGTACCTACTCTTGAGTCTTGACCTGGGGTTCCGCATTTCCGGCCGGCCGATGGCGCGCCCACCAATTTTGTGTGTCGCAAGACCCCTCGCGCGCGCGCCACTTTCTGAGTTTCTGGGAGCACCAAGTAGTCATCAGAGCAGCTGCATGCAGCGCACGGCTGGTGAAGTCGTGATCAATCGCAGTCAGCCGTGTCAACCCATGTTGGATCTGCCCGGGTACATAGCAGCGTGACGAACGGAACGGGCGCTACCTACCTAGTAGGCGCTCGACGTCGCCCGTGTTACCACCTAGCAGGACACACGCCTTGACTGCATGCAATTCTGATACGGCACAAGGCGGTGGTCAGCGGCCGCGGTGCTGAGTGCCGACGCAATGCGCTTCCCGCGGAACGTGTGGTTTTGGGCTCAGTCAACCGTTTTTATATTAGCCATTCTGCCCTTGACTGTTAAAACCTCAACCTCTTCGAATTACTACTACATGGCCTTATTATGAGGGTGACGTGACATTGACACGGTGATGTGTGCGTGCATTGCGATGTAATTGAATGTTGAAGATTCGCCTATGCAAATGGCTTAAAAAGCTTTGATAAATTCTTACTTGTGTTAAGGAGTGCTTGCAACCTTATAATTTAGCCCAGCACAAGCCTAATACTCCGTATAACCTATACTCTCTCCGTTCTTTTTTACATGTCACTATAGGACAAAATTCATACGACATGTAAATAAAATCATCGACCAATAATTAAATTAATCTCCAAGAGAATGTCTATGGTGTGCCAACCTTTTTAAGACACCGACCAAGTATATGTACATGCCATATTTTTTTTTGAATAGATGTACATGTCATATTTTTTTTTGAATAGATGCTATATATAGCAACTTTGGACTTACAGTACTATGATAATAATTACAGATTTGCCATATAGATAGGGGCATAGAGTAATTGATTGATGGGAGAAAAGCTTAAGCGTTAAATATAGTATGAATTAAAGAGCGACGGTCGTTGTAGAAAGCGACATGTAAAAGAGGGCAAAATGGCTCAATAATTTTATCCGTGCCTTTTGCCATATATTTTGTTAGTATAAGTAAGAAATAAAAGGGAGACGTTGACATGCCCAAACTTTTCCTTTTTTGCTGCCAGCTAAATTAGGGTATAGATGTGAGAAAGTTAAACAAATAAATTAAAAAACGATCTATATATGACGTGCTCAGAGCCGAGGAAGTGTATGTGGTTGGCACATATTTTCATCTTTGAGCACTTACGGTTGGCAAATTTTTTTTTTGATAAACAGCACAGTTTTTTTTAGCACACAGTGTGTCTCATGCATGCTCTTCTATTGGCGCGAAAGTGCGAAGAAAAAGCACACAAGTCACTGTATGAAACGTACGCACGTACGTACGTAACAATGCTACAAGCAGTTTAGCTGGATAGAAAAGGCGTCGTGTGTATGCACTGCGGCATGCAGCTGGCTTTGATCGATTGGTTGTCAACCTTGTGAGTTGAACAGAGAACTTGCATGCGGCCTTCAAGTTGAAGCCACAACCGCGGACCCAGTACGTACTACTTGTGAGCTGAAAACCGCGTACTTGCTTGCGCTTAATTACTCAGGCGTCAGGAATGAATCGCAATGCTTAAAAGTACAAGAGCGATCGAAGAATTCAGAATGGACCCGGTCCGCTATCATATTTTTTCTGCTTGCCACGCAGTTAAACTTGCATTACGAGACTATAAAAGGCCACCACCTTGTCTCTCTTCTTCCAACAAACTCCAACAACGTGTAGTAGTAACCGGCCAGCTCCATCCATCGATCGTCTCGTCTGCACTGCAGCACTGCAATCTATTTGCTAGATCCATCTCCAAGACGAACGCGCGCGCGTGTTATGGCATCGTCGTCGGCGATGGCGATGAGGGCGGTGCTGGTGGCCGTCGTGCTGATGCAGTGCTGCAACATGATCGCCGCGGCGAGGCCGTTGCTGATGGAGGCGCCGGCGGTGGCGACGACAGCAGACGGCGGCTGGCTGGGGCTCATCATGCAGGTGCTAGGCGGGCCGGGCGGCAACAACCACAACTGCCAAGCTCCCAACGGATCGTGCCCCTGATAAACTAGCTAGCCTGCCGGCCGAAGACGGCGGCTGGCTGGGGATGATCATGCAGGTGCTACAAGGCCCGGGCTCCAACGGCGGCGGCTGGCAAGCTCCCGGCCACCCGTATGTAAACCAACTGGATCCATGCCCCCGTCGGGGCCGGCATGCAGCATGCTCTTTGCTAGCTGCTGATCATCAGTGACCAAGATAGGCTGGACAATGCGGTTTTTGTTAATTTTATTTAGGCGTTTGTTAGCATATAGCATATACATGTACATGCTGCGTACTAGAGATACCGTCCATTTAATTGGTTCTTTCTAGCTAGTTGTTTTTTAGAAAAAGAATAAATATTCTTTTTTCTAAAAAAACAGCCGCTAGTTGTTCAAGTAATTAATTAATAGATTATATTAGCTCCATGCAAAAATGCATGGGGTTTATCTTTCGTGTAGTTTTAGGATCCCAATTAATTTAATTAGAGTGCTATTTCGCAACAGGAGACTCTTCATGTTTTATTCAAACTTTCAAAGGCATATCACATAAGACTACCTTCTGATGGACATGCAAATAATTTTGTATACACTTTTCTATCAGTTTGACCATGGGCACAGACTGAATGAATCGCCGGAGAATCACGACGATACTTAGCTAGTCTTCGCCGAAGAAAAAAAATGTTAAATTTGTAGGGTCTCGTTGAGGCAAAATTCAACGCCTTTTTTTTGTTTGATTGACACAGCAGCATGCATGTACATCACTGGTAGAGAACCGAGCTTTACTCCCGGTGAGGAACCCCCTCTAGTCCCAATTCCCCACCCGGAAGCAAGCATCCGGGACTAAAGGGGGTCCTTTAGTCCCGGGTCAGGAACCGGGACTAAAGGAGGACCTTTAATTCCAGTGGGTAACACCAACCAGGACTAAAGGTGCCTCCTGACATGCCACGATGGCCGGCACCTTTAGTCCCGGTTGGTAATATGAACCGGGACTAAAGGTTTTTTTCTTTTTTCTTTTCTTTTCATTTTTTTGTTTTCTTTTCAAAATAGGTTTTCGAAGTCGTATTGTACGCTGCTAATTATACATTTATACGCGCGTATAGTATGTTTCGGTTCAAGCACAATGAACGTATTAAATCACACAATTCAAGCATAGATATATATATATATATATATTTACATGCATGCATGCATATGTGTATTTTACATTATATTATTTCATGTGCATATATTACAAAAGATTGCATTACAGTTGTTGTGACATAAAAAGTTTCCTCTTATCCTCTAGCTTGGCTTCAATGGCAGTGTTGGGTCGAAGTAGAACTCGCCCTTGGAATCGATGACCTGCTCATTAAAAAATCCGGCTATAGACTCTTGAATTGCTTTGATTTGGTCTTGCCGTATGACCTTTTCCTCCAACCATCGAGTCTACAGGTTTGAATTAAAGAAAAATAAATTAATATATGTACATATATATATATAAAGACATAGTAACACAATCAATAATAATAATTAAATGAATATATAGTGTATTTTTAACGTACTTTGAGTCTCTCTGTAGGAGTTCTTTGGGAGAGCACCTTGATAAACTTGCAAACATAGTAACCACAGTAGTTGTTCCCTGTTCTCGCCTCGAGACACCACTTTACGAGAAAAAGATTTGTCATCCAACTGGTGATCCGGTAAAAGCTATATGTTTAATTAATAAAGATGATGCGATTTGGGGACTTACTTTTCAAAGGATTACATTGGTGGCGCTTTGCATTTTTCCATGTGTTGCTTCTCAATAAAGGTTTTCCAAACACCGCTTAATAAAAATTTGCCACGTCATCAGATATAGTTAATCATCATGTTTGTGTGTACATATAGTTGCTAGAGATCCCAAAATTACCTCTGGATAATATCTATCATATCTTGGTAGTCTTGTTGTGGTTTTCTCATCGAGTCATAGATTATCAAGTGACTTTTCACCAGATCGATGTCCATCAATATCCAGTGATTGCTGCATGTGTTTATAGGATATAACACATAACACTCATTAATTAACTAGAATCAACATATGAGCCATTAAGGATGATCGACATGATTAACACTCACTTGAAGTTATAGGGAAAGAGTATATCCTTCTTGTGGCGTTGGTTCACTAAGAAGTTCATGAGGTTACTCTCTGACTCATTCTTCCAATTAGTCTTTAGAGTAATTGGGTCTTTGAATACTATTTGGGGATCAACAAAACCAATTTCATTGCAGCCCTCCTTTCTGAGCTCTGTCATTGTAAATCTGCATATATATAGTACTTGTTATGATAATTTATATGCATATACACACATATGATGAGTTTAATAATAGATCGAAAGAATTATTACTTACAGCAATAATAAACTAATGATAACTTTGTCCGGAGAGGTCGGTGGCATAGTTGATGAAATTTTGCAAAGTCAACATACATAACATCATCGCCACGGAACCAATGTTCGTCTCTAATTTCGACACCAACACGAAGTCTCCATTGGTAGACGCTTTTGCATGTACCACTTGTTAAAGGTGTACATTTGCGTCCCTAGATCGAGATAAGGCTTGAGGGTTGTATAGACTCTGGCCTAGTACAAATTTTTTCTTCCAAATATCAACCTCCGTCGCACTCTCAATGTTTCCATCACCAAACATCTGGTAAAGGTCGAGACCAGTCTCATCAAGAAATTCACCAAGGTGATCCAAATCGACATCCAGGAGGTATGTTTGCTCGATGCATTAATCCTAAATTCGAACCATATTCATTACCAACAACTAGCGGGGATTGATTGGTGCGCTTGTTGTCCGAGTTGGGCAACTCCTTTCCCCGCCCACTTCTTTTTTCTGTGCGCCTCAATTGACTTGGTGAGAGTGCGGTCATAGTCCGATAACGTTGATTTGGATGACTTACAAGATTCCATTGTTGTTCTTTGGTAAGAAGTTACCTTTTTTCTTAGAATATCTGGAGCTACGAAGAAGTACGGTTTCTCCGGGTTTCTCCTTGCTTCTTGATTCATTTTAAGTTTGTCATAGAATCTAGACATGTCTTTTTTATATGCATCAGTTCCTTCTTCCTTCTCTTCAGATATTATTTTGGGAATAGCCCTTGGTTTCACGGTGGCTTTCTTTGTAGGCGGGGACTGGTTCTTCGTTTGAGGGGCTGGCCTCTTGCTAGGCTTCTTGGTAGGCGAGGGCGGGGGAGGCGTTGGAGACCTCCTTGGAGGTGTTGGCAGCGGCGTTGGAGACCTCCTTGGAGGTGGCGGCTGCGGCATTGGAGACCTCCTTGGAGATGGTGTGGATGCAGCCTCGTCTTCCAACACAATGTCATCGTATAGAGCACTATGATGATCTGTCGATTGAACAATTGGATTTAGGTTGGGGGAGGATCTGCTATAAAAAAAGGAATGACATATTATTATGAGCAGATTGTTAATTATTTAAGCCAATACAAATTAATGATGTAGTGTTTTCATCCGCACGTACCTATGGTGAGGTAGTTCAGGAGGAGGTGGAGCCAACATCCCTGGAATGATGATGTAGCGCTTGCGCCATAGAATGAATGTCTTCTCCGCTTCTCCTAGAGTCTTCTCGCCATCACCTCCAGGAATGTCAAGAGGCAAATCACTAAAACCTTTTTCAGCTTTATCTACCGAGATGGTAGCATATTCTTCTTGGATTATATTCCCATGAATCCTTGGTGTCTTGGTTCGGTCGATAGGATTAACAAGACCGATAGCCACCTTGATTGTGGAATTCTCCTTCGGAATGTGTAGCTCACACGTTGTACAAGGTTCAGTGACGTCATCCACAGGGAAGCGCAGTCCGTGTCCCCTTGATTTGGTATCTCCGTGGAAGCGCAGCTGCTTTTCAACTGAACAGATTGGCTAATGTTGATTCCTGGCTCTGATGCCTGCTTGCTTGCACTCACTACTATTTGCACTTGCCTTCTAATTTTCTCCTGCATTCTCGCTTCAAGGTTTTTTTCCCGCTCCTGTGCTTCACGCACCGCTTCCTCCAACCTCTGGAGCCGCTGTGCCTCTTCTTCCTTCTTTTTCTCTGGCGACTTCAGAGGAAGGTGCATCTGAGGGAATCCATGCTCCCACGAGACACTTCCTTTGCCTCTAGTTCGCCACCATGTTCAATAGTCCCGATGGCATATGTCAGCTCATCCTCTCTCTGTTGGCCTGAACGCACCACTAGCGATAGCTCTCTCGAGCATAAAACAATCTTTTCTTTGCTTCTTGCGTCTTGCGCCATAAACGCACTTCCCTGTCTCCCTGGTCTAGTGTTCCCCCATGAGCGAAAAACCAATTCTTTGCACGTTCTCCCCACTCGAGTGATTCTGGTCTGATACCCTTGGCAAGAAGGTCTGCTTCCATTTTATTCCACTTTTTAATGGCAGTCGGGTAGCCACCGATCCCAAGGTATGGTGGTATATGTCTTACATTGGGCATTACGTTGGTTCTTTATCACCCGACTCACACCCTCTTTCGAAGTCTTGTACTGTACAAACTCATCCCAATAGGGCCTCTGCTTTGAGATCGGGCCTGGGACAATAAAATCTGGTGCTATGTTCTTCTTCACATATGTCGTGTATAGGTGTTTCTTCCAAGTCTGAAACTGGGTGGCCATCTTCTTCATTGCCCAATCCCTAACTCGCTCCTTCAATTCATCACCATATATTATATCATCATAACCATCTGTTTGGAGCGTGAAATGTACCAAGACATCTTTCCAAATTAACGCCTTGTCACGATCGGAGACAAAACTGATATGAGGAGCATTGGTCTTCTTCTTCCATTCACCGGTACTAATCGGGAGCCGGTCCCGTACAAGGTAACCACAGTGGTGCACAAATTTCATTTTATTCGGCCCCCCCGGTTCTCCTATATCCACATTGAACTCCGAGATGATGAAGCGGCCCTCCAATGGCTTTTTGGGACCTCAAACATTTTTACTCTTCGTTGTAGTTGTTGATGTCGATCCAGAGGGCTACAAAACATAAACATTATTTTT